TCATATCACTTCATGTAATGTTAGAATCTTAACCACATTCTACTTCCTTCCTATCTTGTGATTACTGTCACATACTAGTAGCTGTGATATTGAGCACCTACCTAGTCTACCTCTCTGGGTTCAGTTTTCTTCATAAGAAAATTGGGAATATCTACCTCACTGACATTCTGTAAGAATTAAAATAAGGAGAGTGGAAAGCACAGTACCTACACTAGAGGTGCTAACTTATCAGTAAGCTATTATCCTATTAATACAGAAAATTTTGAAATGAAGGAACAGAAGGACACACCTGAAGAGAAACCTAGGTGACCTACATTCACACCTGGCTTAACTTTTGTTATAAATGCCTCTCCTATAGCTCTCTACCTACAAAAGTGACAATGAGACTGTGCCCTACTGGACTGGCTGGCAAAGTTTGACTCAGAAGAGAAATTCAAGAATCTTTCGAGCTCTGATATATAATCCCTTTTATTTACCTACATTTAATTGAAGACATCTGTAAGTGGTGCCACACAAAATGTAATTCAGACTTAGAAATGTCAATAAAAATGTCTGTTAAGGCCAGGGTCCGGTGTAAGCCTAGCAGGGGAGTACATATCAGCAGCTACAGAGCCACCCGAAATTAGGGATCTAATGGAAATATGTTGCCTGACTTGACGAGGTGATAAAAGCTCTTTTCCCATAAAGCTTAATGAGCTCTATTAGTCTTCAGCTTACAGGAATGTAAAAGGGTCAGCCCCACAGAGGGAAGTAACTGACTCTCCACATATGGTCCATTCAAATGACAACATATCAAATTACTGATGTAATTACTATAACCTGACAATTTCATTAGATTCATGTGGCAGTTAACTGTTTAGGACTTACAACAAAGGGACATGGTTCACTCATAGTAGTCATTGTGGAGAAAGTGAAGTTTAAAGTCAGCTTTGTTTTCAACTGCAACTCTCATGTATTTTACTATCTCTGCCAGAATAATTTGACTTCTATTCAAAATTAAAGAAGGTGCTGGGTATAGACCATATTTGTAATTTTCCTTCTCCAGCTAAGTCATAAGCTTAAAGGCAAAATTAAACATTCAGAGACTCCCAATACTCTCCTGCCTTGCCTTTGCTTTGGCTCTCAGGCGCTATGTGGTGGCAAAGGAACAGCAGCCCCCGGCTTAGTGCTGCTAGTGAAGACTTAAGGGTAGCTGCCACTAACTTAAGCCCTCAAGTGGCCCCTGTGGAACTGCAAACTAGAAAAATACCAACAGAAAGCCTGCAAAATATTTCCCATCAAGAAAGGAGACTTATATTGGTCATCTTTAATTTTGATTTTTCTTCCTCTCCAATGTCATAAACCCAGTAATAAAAAAGATAATTAACCAAGGTAAATACCACTCCAGATCATTAAGTGATGAAAGCAGACAGAAACTATCATTAAACTCTGGATACTTTCCCTTCTACTTTTCACCAAAGATTGAAGCTTCCACACATATATTCCCAATACTTAACAAGAGTAGTAATATGTAATTTAAAAGTATATATTTGTGGCCGGGCACAGTGGCTCACACCTGTAATCTTTATACTTTGGGAGGACGAGGCGGGTGGATCACTTGAGGTCAGGAGTTCAAGACCAGCCTGGCCAATATGGTGAAACCCGTCTCTACTAAAAATACAAAAACCAGACGGGCATGGTGGCAGGCGCCTGTAATCCCAGCTACTTGGGGGGCTCAGGCAGAAGAATTGCTTCAAATGGAAGGCAGAGACTGCAATGTGCTGAGATTGTGCCATTGCACTCCGGCCTGGGTGACAGAGCGAGACTCTGTATCAAAAAAATATATATATACACATATATATATGTGTGTGTATACTCTATATACTCTAGTTGCAGCTAGTGTACTCTAAGTACACTCCAAGACCTATCTATAACTGAGAGCATCCAAAGATTACAAAGGACAAAGCTCTCAATCTCAAGTAGCTACAATCTAACTGGGAAGACAGACTGTTAACCATACTAAAATGTAAATACTGAAACTTGTCTACTTTTAGCTGAGTCTTGCCAAATTATGGATGAAAGACTGCTACTCTCAGTCTCAGCCCCACAAAATTCATTCATTCGTTCATTCACTCATTCAACAAATATTTATTGACTCAGTGCCTACTATGTTCTACATATACTAAGAATGAAAACAAGAAAACAAAAAAAACAGGGTCCTCTCTCAATGAGCTTACATTTGAGAGATGTCAACTGTTAAGATTTACTGAGAAGTATCTTTGCCATTGGTGAGTAACAGCCTTAAATTGCTACTTGCCCCAGTAAAGTGGACATCAAGCTCAAGCCTCCTTATTGGTCCCTGTATAGGAAAGCCAACCCAGCCTAATTGCCTTCTGCTAAAAACCCTTATTCCTGTTCATTCCTCTAAGCTTTTGCTAAAATGAGAGCACAGCATTACACATTATCAACATTATCTCATCTAAGCTCCTGCCAGCCCCTTTTTTCCAAGGTTAGACGCTGTTTCCACATCAAATCAAAGAGACTCCCCTGATGTACATCTATCAAACACTGATTACAAGAAGCATTACCAAAAAGCTACCAATGCACCTCTACCTACTGTGGGCCCTTTACTGGAAAAGTAAAGGATAAAACAGCACTTTGTAGTTGTTAACATTTTATGCAGCTCCTTTCTACTTTTCTGTGCACTTAAATTGTTTTAAACTGAGATCTGCATGTATAATTTTGCATCACGCTTTTACCTCTCAATATATCAAATGTATTTTATATGTGTTATTCATCAATATATACTCATGAACACATATACACAATCTCCATTTTAATGGTTGTAGGGTGGTCTATCATATGGCTGTGTCATAATTTATTTGACCTGTTCCTGTTGTACATTTAGATTGTTTACAGTTTTTTACCGTTATAAATAATGCTGTCATAAACATTTTAATGCAAGTTTTGTCCCCATCTTTGATGAACTCTCTGACAGTGATTCTTGGAATACAATTACTCAACCACAGGTATGGATGTATATAAAGCTTTTAGTGTATGTGACCAAACTGCTTCCTAGAAAGGATGAAGTTCATAAACATCCCATCTCATTATATCTTGTCAAGCATTCACTTAAAAAATAAGATATCTTGATAGGTTAAAAAAAAAATTGTAGACCACTGTCATTTTAAACTACATTTCTTTTATTATTAATAGGATTGAACATTTAACACACATTTATTACCATTTGTATTTTATCTTATCAATTACCTGATAAAAATCCAACCAAATTTTATGAAAAAGAAATTCATATTGCTTCTAAAAGATCATTACAGTAAGTAAAACCCTTTCATCATACTTTACCCAAGTTACCTTTTAGCTACATTTGTTTTCATGTACAAAATTATGAGTCTTTACATAATCAAATTAATTTTTTCACTCTGTTTTTTGATACTTTCCATTGCTTTTGAAGTGAGAAAGTGCTTCCATAACTATAGGGCAGGCTATAAAACTTACATTGTTTTCAACTTTTTATGGTTTGGTTTTCACTTTACACCTAACTCTTAATTAAAATTCTATCTGCCAGACACTGTGCTCAGTGTTTGCCACAGATCATCTCATTTAATTTTAATATCCCTATAAGTATTATTATCTCTGTTCTTAGATCAGGAAAAAGGGCTCAGGAGTCAATGACTTGCCCATGGGCTACTCAGGCCTCTCTCATTTCAAAGCCTAGGCTCTTTCCACTATACCATTCTGCTTCCCCGTTGATCCTGGATACTTAGACAATGTGACCAAGTCTGGAAGGGACTACCCCCACTGGTCTGGTCCATTTCTCCTGGTGACCACTCAGCTGGCTACCACACGTTTCCAATGTGCCACTGTGGGCCACACCACATTATCAGCAGTAATAGTCTCAATAATCAAATAAAATGTTATAAAAGCAGAAATGGTCTCAGAAAGGACACGGTATTGAGGCTCAACCCTGAAAAGGAATATGATTTGAACAAGTTGGGAATGGGAAAAGCATAAAATGAAATAAACAATAGGCACAAAGGGAAGGACAAGTGCAAGGCAAGGAACAGAGTCTCATCGTGTGGAGCTGAAGCCTAAGAGGAGAACACAAAATAGTGCCATGATGTAACTAGCATAGTTTATAACTGCTCCCATTTCCATCACCTCATCTGAGAGGAATTGTTATTTGCATTTAAAAGATAAGAAAAATGAGGCTCAGGGCAGTTGTGATTTACCCAATGTCATATGGTTAGTAAGTGAAGGCAAGCTCTTACCCGGTTTTGGTTCTAAGTCCCACTACCTCTTCACATAACTCTGCTTCCACCCTTTCTCTACTTTCTTTTCCAAGTCTCAATGATCATCTACAAGTTCTTCTGCAACTGCAGCTCGTAACGATATCTAGTTCTCTAAATATCTAATAGTTTTTCTTTATCTCACAATTTTATCACTGGATTCTCAGTTTTACATTGAAAACCATGATGAGGATTAAATGAAAAAGTGAATGAAGAACCCAGAATATTGCCTTGTTACAATAGCAGCTCAAAAACTTTGCTCTTCTCTTGTCAATTCATGGATTTTAAAGTGCTCTCTCTAACTGAAACTTCCTTGAAGACAGCCTTTGCCTCTGATTTTTCCAGCTTTCTTTTAATACCATGGCAACTTATAGAACATAAGGCTGCTGTTAAACAAACAGGAGTAATGACGATACAACAAGGCTCTTTAAAATAAAGGACTGATTTCTCTCTACTTATTGAGAAAGAAAATATACTTAAAAAGAGGCAATAACCTGTCATGAAGGTGAAATGCTACTGATATAACTTCTAGAAACTTTTATCCAAAAAAAAAAAAAAAAGCGGGCAGTAACTCACTCCATTACTGTTATTGAAGAATATATGTGTCACACCAAAATGAGCACTCCTAAATTATCAAATAAATGCCTAATGAAAGATGTCAATAATGGTGTTCAATTACCAATTCTAATATTAAGGTCAGTGAGTAACTCTTACCTCCAAGGGTGAACTGCAAAGGAATCTTGTGAACTGCAGAGTCAAATTTGAACAGAATCCGTTTCATCCAGTAAATAAACAGCAAAAACAAACACAGAGAAAAAGAAAAAAATATTATACAATTTTCCAGTAAATCCACTTAAAGTGAACCCAAAGATTATAGAAAATTCATGCATCCATAAAATTCATCCAGAGAATAGAAAGGTTCAACCTAGTCCATAGGAGGCACCTAACTACTTGAATTCCTTTCAATAAACATTCTTAAAACTCTGTATAAAAGCACATAAAGCACAACAAATCAGTCCTAAAACAGTTTGCTTAAATTTTATCTCACAACTCCTACATAATAAAAACATCTTTTAAGGAAAAAAATCAGCAATCTTCCTGACCCTAAATTTGACAGGCAAAGTTCAGTAAATGCCAAGAGAAGAAGATACAAACCAATGAGGAGACCAAGAAAAGGGGAGAGGAAAGGCCAAGAGAGAGGTCAGGTGAGTGAGAATGAGAAGGTGAGGTTTTAGCTCCACAATCTGGCATCTCATCTGTGGTCTTTACCCTGTTCTGATCTTTCTCTTTTCTCAGTCCCATATCCCCTTCCTTCCTTCCTTCCTTCCTTCCTTCTTCCTCTCTCCCTTTCTCCGTTCTCTCTCACCTTTCTCTTTCTTTTTATGACACACATAGAGGAATATAGAATATCACCTGAAACTAAATGCTATATGATCAGCATTTAAATAAACAGATTATAGAGGGGGACAGAAACAAATGACAAAGCAAATTGTAGGATACCTCTGAAATGAGGACTGTCACATAACTTCATGCATACACATGATGGTAATTCATAATGTTTTCAGAGATGTTATTTACAGATTCAACATTTCAAATCCTTTGAGATTTACTGTAATAACACCCAAATAATACACACTCTTGATCTTTATAAATGCAAATTAACTACAATAAAACACAATGACAGGCCTGTTTCCAAGCACTCATGAACTTCCTCTCCACAACAAAGCTAGTACTCACAGGGAATACAAATAACTTGTATTCTCTTTTAGAGTTACACATTGAAATATTTATCAACGAAATTATAAGATATCTGGGATTCCCTTCATGATCATTGGAGAAGTAGGGAGAAAACTAAAATGTAGTAGTATAAAATAAAAAGACTAGCTGGGTGGGGTGGCCCATGCCTGTAATCCCAGCACTTTGGGAGGCCAAGGTGGGTGGATCACCCGAGAGAGGTCAGGAGTTCGACACGAGCCTGGCCAACATGGTGAAACTCTGTCTCTGCTAAAAATACAAAAATTAGCTGTGTGTAGTAGCAGGCGCCTGTAATTCCAGCTACTTGGGAGGCTGAGGCAGGAGAATTGCTGGAACCTGGTAGGTGGAAGTTGCAGTGAGCCAAGATCGTGCCACTGAACTCCAGCCTGGGCAACAAGGGCGAGACTCTGTCCCAAAAATAAAAAACAAATAAAACAGACTAGACATGATATTAAATGAATGAGGACAAGAGATTAGGGTTCATCACCTGATTCTATCTACTTTGTAAATGTTTAAGGTTTTCTATAATAAGTTTTAAAAAGATATCACATACTCCCACCAAAAACACTAAATATATTCTTAGAATATCACTAATGCATACCAAAGCCATTCAATTAAATAGTATCATTTAGGCCCTAGTTGACAGTATATCAAAATGTAAACACTTCAGTAGGAAGCAAAAAAAAAAAAAAAGGAAAGAAAAGAAAAAAAATGCAAACAGTAAGAATTTTTTCTTAATTTATATATCAATATGCAGTTTGATTATATTAACTCTTAAGATAACTTTCTGAAAGTGCAAAGTATACCAAAATTTTAAGATTTCTTAATGCTGACATGAAGCAAATAATTTTATTGAAATTTAAAATGCAAGTTTTGTGGCCTTGGATTCTTTCATTGTAGCCCAACCTGAGACAATCTCTACCCTTCCTCCCAAGAATAAAAAGTGCCAGTTCAAAGCCTAGCCAGTTTTAACAGTGGAGAAAAATGAGGCATGGTAAATTTTGATTTTAAAATCAGAAATTTGATACTGAAGGGTTCTATACTTTTCCCCAAAAGTGAATGTTAATATTATACACATACTTTTGAATTTATAAGCAAGTCATGTTCAGTAGTAATTGATGCATTAATTAGGATGGAAGTTACTTTAAATAACAATGAAGACAAGAATATAAATGCTGTCTACAAAAACTAATGTCTCCTTGAAGTTCCAACAGTTTATACACATTTTTGGCATGTGTATATGTCCAACATTTGTGTCACAGCTTTTTCAAAACAGACCTAAAAAATTCTCACCCTGCTTGAAGCCGCCAAAATGTGAAATACATAAGTAAAAGTTTTCAATCCTAAAGCAGTAAAAACAGAATAACAAATCACAAGACACACATTGACACTCCTATTCCCACAACATGAAAAAGATTTCAAAAAATGCCATCTCTTTATTAGTGCATCAGTAAAACCCATTGTTTTTTCACTTCAGTTACTTAGTAAATTCTTTCATAATGAAACTGTACATATTATATTCAGTAGAAATGGTAATACTTTGAAAAAACAATTATAAAAAATGAGACTGCAAAATACATTTTCTATATACACTGCAATTGAAAGTAGAAATAGATTCCTTAACAATCACTACCATGATGTCTGATCAGTATTAAAAAGGACTGTGGCTCAATTTTGCTATGAACCTAAAACTACTAAAAAGTAAAGTCTATTAAAAAAAAAAAAAAGACTATGGCCGCACACAGATGGTAGCACACATTAATATCATTTGTCTGATATGACTATATTAATAGGACTACTTAATAATAAATAATGGGTAAAGTTAGTAGTTAAGAGAAAGATCCTTTTCAAAATACTTGGGCGTAATAAATAAAAAATATAATATGTTTTACAAAATATCTGATTCTGCAGATGGGCATACAATTTTATCATTCTAATAACAATCAGAGGTTAACATAGCCATATTCTTTATCTCCCTATGTACCCACTTTTAAAGATTACTTTTAGGAAGTCTCTTGATTTAACATAGCTGACTAAAGGAATAACTTGCATATTTGGCTTTTTAAACTTAACAGCTAAGATTCCTGTTTGTAACAATATTAGTAACACTATCAATTTGATTCACTTGATAAAATTTATAAAAATTCTAAATGCCAATTATTCTGTCAGGTCTTGAATTTTTAAAAAAATGTAAGAATTATGGTCTATATTTAGAATCCAGGCATAAAAGGCATCAGTACCATTTTTGAAATCCTTTAGGCCTCTAAAAAGAAAAAGGATACACACAGACAGCGCTCACACTCCACAGCTTCTTACTGACCTTGCTTTTCTTGAAGTATTCTCACTTACCAAGCCTGGTACCATTGTTCTAGTCATCATCTGCAGCCTGACTCATAACATAATCCTTTCTCATTCCCTCCAAAGAAGCACTTAATGCTTACCGAAATTTTCTAAACCATTTTCCAAGTGCACAAAATTGTAGTTAGACCTCCTATTAGTTACAATCAGTAAGTTCTTTTTCTAAGTACAGGGGTGGTGGGAATAAGGACCAAAGAAAACACATTGCTAATTTTGTCAAAAGATCCTAGCAATTTGGATGTAATGACTTCCTTTTTGGTGAGTTTAAAAAAAAAAAAAAAGGTCCCAGAAAAATAGTAATTATTTTCTCTTTGTAATATAAACTATTCAACAGATAATTCAAGACACTTTGTTCCTGAAATGCCTTATCTGTTTAATAAGTAACCGTGGTTAAATTCCTATCTTTTAAAGAAAAAGGAGACACTCAACACCAAAAGGCAAATTTTACAAAGATAAATCACATTTTTTTTCCTAACCCAAGGAACATCAGTGAGGTGTGTCTCTATTTGCCAAAGTAAAATTCCAAATCTTATAACTAGTCATATCAATTATCCAAAATTTCCTCACACTAACAATATACACTTCCGGTTGTATTTCCTGGGCCTTTCACTTATTGTACTCTACTTCCACCTACTGTCCTATAATTTATCAGGGGACAGGGCTGATTATTTTAAGTTATAATCTAATAAAACCTTTATTTAAAAATTTTGCAATTATCAGTCTAAATTACACCTCAATGTAAAATACTAAATTCTTCTATCAGGGATTTGGAAGCCTTAAATCAGTTATGACTCTAAATTATGTCAATGTAAATAACATTTTAGACTCCCTTCCCATCCCTGTCCAATTTCTGGCACATATTTACACTATAAATAACCAGTAGTTCTAAGGCAGTGCAAAACTAGGTTTTATATCAAGAATGTCTCTGATAAATCTACAACGCTAAGAAATTAATTTGACTACACAAAAGAAAAAAGTTTTGTTTCACATTTCATTGCAGACAAATAAAACCTTCAAAGCAGCCAAAAGACACAGCTAGCGCCCATTTAAAAAGTCATCGAAAGAATGAGAATTAAATCTGTATTTAACAAGGAGTAGAAACTAAGGTTTGAGAAGATCTTATTTAACCTATTAGTGGGGAGTAAAAAGGGCAGATTCAGGTAATTCCCTAAATTCATTTTTTATAGCTATTCTCTGTCCCAATTGTAAGCAATGTACCTGAAAGGGCTGTTTGTGCTACGTCTTCTGATTACACTTGGCACCTTAGACATTAAGCTTCAAAACATCTTAAAAGATGACAACAAGGCCAGGCACGGTGGCTCACGCCTGTAATCTCAGCACTTCGGGAGGCCAAGGCGGGCGGCATGAGGTCAGGAGATGAAGACCACGTTGGCTAACACAGTGAAACCCCATCTCTACTAAAAAATACACAAAATTAGCCAGGCGTGGTGGTGGGTGCCTGTAGTCCCAGCTACTCTGGAGGCTAGGCAGGAGAATGGAGTGAACCCAGGAGGTGGAGCTTGCAGTGAGTCAAGATCGAGCCACTGCACTCCAGCGTGGTGACAGAGCGAGACTCCATCTCAAAAAAAAAAAAAGACAACAAAAATATTATTTACACTCTAACATAGTTAAAC